CCCCAAAACCCCAAAACCCCAAAACCCCGAAAGATGGCATCTTATTGAAACTGATTGCTAAATCTTGTGCTTGGGTTTAGAAGACTTCTTCCGCAACACTGCCTTGGTATAGAACATCTTTTTGCCCAAAGCTGCCTTCACAGTAGACTTCTTGATCAATGACTTTGAGGTCTAAACATTAAGAGAGCAATCACTTTTCGCTTCAGCTTCAATTTGACTGCTTTTGGCAAATCTTGATACTGCTTCATGATCTCCTCAATATCCGAATGTGTCGGAGTGATTACAGGTGATTTTAGTTCAGGGATTTTTGGAGGATTTATGTTAAGCTTTTTATTCCTCTTCCTCTTTTTCATCACTGATGATGACCCTCTAAAAGCATTCCTTACAGGAATATTCACATCAGGAGTAATTAAGATATCATTTAGCAAAACTTTGCTTGATAGGGTCGTCTTGTTCTTCATTTCAGGGTAAGAATTAAAGTTGTTCCGGAATGATATCTCATCACATTTTTGATTAGGAATACCAGATAGAGGTGGAAGTGCATCTGCCTTCCTTGAGCTTGAGTCTTTTCTTTTATTATTTCCACCATAATAAAGTCTGTTATATGCATTATTTTTCATTAATTTGTGCTATTCTCTTGCGTTCTTCAATCAATTTTCGCATTTCTAAGCGGATATTTTTCATACTCCCAAACTCGGAAGAAGGAATTCTAGAGCTTGTATTGAGCTCATAATAATCTAAAATACCGACGCAGACTGCCTTACCAATCTGCATAAACGATTCAACAGTATATGGATTTTCTTTAGTGCCTGCCATTACAAGATTTGGATCTGTTTGCTCCTTATCATCTTCTGCTTTCTGGACTACCTCCCCAGTCTTGACATCAACAATATCAGTGAGAGTATTATTCTTAAGCCCAATAGTATAATGACATTCAAGAGTATATGAATTGGGTATTCCTGTGTCATTCCAGATGGCAACTCTTCCTCATCCGTCTCTAGTCAAGCCAGTAGACTTATCCTTCACTTTCATGTTTGCCTCAGCAAATGAGCATTGAGAGAAATCAAAGTCAATACTGTTCAGAGAGATTACCTTCGGGAGAGCCATGTTTTCGACTTGTTGATGTATAATGTTAAGAGAATTGCCAAACATAAAGCAGCCTTTCCTAGAAGCATGAGCATGTAGATCAATGTACAACACAAGTTTGCTCGTCTTATTCAACTGGTTGATTATTTGCTTGGCAAAATAAATGGAAGGCTGTTCTTCATATTTTGGATCCTTGTAAAATCGGTTTAGGTTATTCCCCATTGTATCTTGTCTATAATAACCCCGATAAACTCCATCTGGATTGAGCAAGGGTATTATTTTGAAGACAAAGTTATTTTCTCAGGAGTTTTCCATACTCATTGTCAGGATCAGTGAGAATCTCAAGGATACCATTTAGAACAAAAGATGCAGCTACCTCGCCAGGATGTACTCTTGAACTAAAGAAAATAGTTGGCTTTGAGAAAATAAATCCTCTTTTACAAGTTTTACGATTCTTTCAAGATGGAAATAACCTCCTAATAAATGGTTCTCTCTCCTCTGTTTTCTGAGAATGGTCAGTTATTGTAATAAGTTCAATTTTTCTTCTCTCCAAAGAATACCCTGCTAGCTCTCTGAGAAAGTATATTGACTCATGATCTTTAAGTCTTTCCTGAAGTTCACCCATTTGTTTGCAAACATCTTCATATCCAAAGGGGAAACTGTATCAAAAATGGACAACGGATGTAGAACTTCAATCAAATTGATATCTAAATTGGATCAAAGATACGGTATCATTCCTATCAAATCTGATATCTTCAGGTATAAACTTCCATTTCTCATCTTCAGGAACTATTTTAAATACAGGTTTGAGCCCATTGTTGTATAATCCGGGCCCATGGGGCATTTTTATAGACAGAAGTTATAAATTTGACCTAAAGGTAAAATAAGGCTTACCTGTCTCAAACCCGGTAATTGAGAAATGATACCATGCTTTAGAGTTAGTCTTATTTAAAAGGTTCTCCATCACTCACAGTTGTCATAATAAAGTTCCTTTCGCTAACCTGCTTCACATCAATTATATTTCCTGTGTCAAATTTGCTGCTAATCTTGACGCTTCCAAACTCATAAGAGTTCTGGGACTCTCAAGCATCATGAAGCTTGCGTATTTTCCTCTTGAAAAGAGAAGGAGTTAGTCTTCTTTTATTCATTTCAAATTTTAAAATATTCTATCATAGAATCATATTTTGGGGTTTTGGGGTTTTGGGGTTTTGGGG